GGAGGGTTGTCACCTCACTTCAGCAGCCTGGGCAGTGGGCAGGAGGGTAGCACGGGACAGCGACCTGGCTGCTGACATCAGGGTGGACGCCCAGGCTGCCTTCTTCCCTGGGGCGCGCCTGGCACAGGCCACTGCAGCACTCCTGTGGGTCACACGGGGCCCCTCTCCGGTCCCCTGCCCTCAGCCCTCGTCATGCATCGTGTCACATCAGGGGAGTGCCATCTCAGACCACATCGGGCCACGCCCCTCTTCTGCTGCAAACCCCCCAGCGATCCTCTCACCCAGCCGAAGCCCTCGCCAAGGCAGCGGGGCCACGGCTGACCCCGTGAGCCCTGGCCCTCTCGTGCCTGTTCCAGCCACGGCACCCTGACCCCACTAGGCACGGGTATCACGGCCTATGCACTGGCTGCTCCCAGGTCACATGGAGAGTCCCTGCAGGACTTCACTAAGCCATTGGGCCCCCAGCTTCCTGTCCCACCCCTTGCCCATGGCTTTGCCGTGTCCCCACCACCTGTCACAGTCTGACCCATGAAACCATTTACTGGTCTTTGCTCATGGCTTATGACCTCTGCCCACTTACGTGTTCAAGGACAGCGGGCACTTAGGAACATTTGCTGAATGAAGGGTGGTTTCCACTTGAGATAACCGAAAAATTATCTAAGAGGCACATTTGCCAGGGGAAGAAGAGAGGGAATGATAGACTGTGATGATTGCTGGACCTATTGATTTTCAAACTGCTCTGTAGAGCCCCAGGGTCTTCTCTGATCCTGGGGGACGAGAGGGGGTGTAGAGCCCCCGGCACCCACCCCCCTACCAATTACGACAGTCAGTGATCCTGCGACACGACTTCTGGATTCACTTTCAAAAGGACTGAAGGCAGGTGATCAAAAGGTATTCACCCACCACGTTCAGGCGGCAGGCACCAGGGCCGAGAGGCAGAGGCAGCCAGGTGCTTGTGGCTGTGAGTGGATACATAAAACGTGGCACAGACACAATGGAACATCATTCAACCCTGAAAAAGGCAGGGAATTCCAACCTGGTCTATTATGAGTGAGGATCTTATGAAATACACCAATGGAAAAAGACAGAACTGGCATGGTAGCACCAGGTCCAGTACCTAGAGTGATGGAATCCCCGAGGCAGACGGGAGAAAGGCGGCTATGGGGGGACAGGGACAGGGAGCAGGGGGCTGTCACTTAATGGGTTTGGAGTTTCAGGTCTGAAATCCAAGAGTTCTGGAGACCTGGAGCACAACGGGGTGAGTATCCTTAACACTGGGGAACTGCACACAGAAAACCCTTGTCCAGGTAAATTACATGGAACGTATTGTTATCACAATTAAAAAATCTTGGTGCCCGTTAGCCACCTGCTGTGTCTTTGAAGCTTTACCTCCTTTCCTTTCAGCAATCATTTGAGGGCAGGTGCTACTATCCCCATTTTACAGGTGGGGACAGAGAGGTCTTGAGGTCAAGGTCACTGGACAGGTAATGTGGTATTTAAACCTGAGCCTGGGTCTTAGCCTGAGGCAGCCACCTTGAGTCCCCTGGCACTTGCTTTGTTTTGGTCAAGTTTACATCCTGGGGTGGCCCCAAAGACTTCAAACACCATTTGAAAACCAGTAAATTTTTTTTTTTAAAGATTTAATCACCATTTTTCTTAATATTTATTTTTTAGTTTTCGGCGGACACAACATCTTTGTTTGTATGTGGTGCTGAGGATCGAACCCGGGCCGCACGCATGCCAGGCGAGCGCGCTACCGCTTGAGCCACATCCCCAGCCCGAAAACCAGTAAATTTGATGAATCTCCCTGGTCCCAGCTGTCCCCTGGCTCACACGCCTCTCCTTGGCCAGCCCAGCATGGTAGTGATGGCCTTGTGGGTGGCCTTCCAGCTACCCTCAGCCCAAGCGCACTCCGTGGCTCCAGCCCATGCGGGGTCCCTATGTCCAAGTGGCACCTATTCTCATGATCCTATTTGGAAGAGACACCTGTCCCCATTGTGTATGGGACAAAACTGAAGCTCACCAAAGTGGAGGTCCCACCGCTGACAAGTGGCAGTCCCCCCATGCGCGTGCTAGGCCTGTGTGACTCAGACCTCAAGTTCTTCCTCACTTCACTGAGGGGGCTGTGGTGCCTTGGATTGTCCAGCTGGCCCTGGGACAGCACCTGTCAGAGAAGGTGCTCAGTCCCTGGGTGCTGAGTGAATCAATGCCGCACCATCATGCCTGAGAAATGGCTCCCCGTAGTTTTTTGAAGGACAGTAGCTTTATATAAAGACAGGTCCCCGCTCCCCGCAGATGGGTTTCATCCCTGAGCATCTACTTAGCAAACTCAAACCCATTCCTGGAAGTCACGGGCTGGTGTCCAAGGGACAGCCAGACATCAATCCCAGCAATGAAAGTAAAATTCCACCCTGGGTTCAACCTCTTCAGATCTTCCTGCACTAGTGGCCTGGGTCATTTGCACTGTAAATTTGGGTTGAGCTAAAATCTAAGGAATGAGGAGGTGTTTATTGGGAAAAAAGATAAGGAGAAGCCCCTGTGAAGGCCCTGGGGAGGCAGGACAGAGAGTGCTGTTGGTAAGTGCTCGGAGGTGGGCTGGAGGCGGTGGCCAGGCATGAGTGCAGGCCTTATGGTCCATGTTACAGGACTTTGCTCTTTTCTTCTAAGTAATCAGGAAGCCACGTGGGGTTTTAGGCACTAGGTGGCACAGCCACACAGGTCTGGCTGCCAGGTACAGAGCAGCTAAGGGGGGGGGGGGGTGGATTCCCATTGCAGCCCCTGCTGTCTGTGGTGACACATTCAAGACAGGAAGACCCGCCCCGCCCCGCATCTGCAGTTTACAACACAGCAGTGTTTACAAAACAGCCAGGAGGAATGAAAGGCCTTGATAATCCACCACCAAATGACATTCCTCAGGTCCCTTATGTGCCATATCTGTAAGCCCTGTGGTACCCTGCCCCTGACCAGAGAGATGGTTTCAGGCTTAAAAGAAATTCTCTGGGTTCCAACATTCATGGGAAGCACCGAATGAGTTGTGGCAACCCAAGTGGTCAACTGCACCCACCCCACCACTCTGGGGACCTTGGGTCTAAAGTCGTTCCCAGAGCACCAGACACTGCCCTGTGCCTTTGGTGCGTTTAGGTCCTTTGATCCTCAGGACAACCTTGCGGACAGGTGTTTTACAAATGAGGTTCCTGATGCGCTCCAGAGAGGTCGTCTTGCTTAAGACAGGAGCTGAGCCTGCCTGTCTTCGGCTGAACCAGGCTGCAGGGTGACAGTGCTGAAATGCGGCGGAGTGGGGGGGGATGGGTGTCCGTTTCTGGAGCCAGGAGGGAGCTCGGCCTCCTCACCTGGAACTCAGCCACCCCCACCTCTGCCTCTAACGTTTCTTTCCTGGGAGCAGCAACAGGTAATCGAGTCACCCAAGTCTCTAAAGAAATACACCCTTGCTTAGGCCAGAGGTGTCGCTCAGAGGCAGGGCACCTGCTTAGGGTGCACACGGCCCTCAGCTCCATCCCCATCACAAGAAAGAAAGAGGGGAAGAAAGGAATATGCCACACACCTTGCTTACATCTGACAGAGGCCACACTTTGCCCTGAGCGCCGTCATTTACAAAGCATCTTGATGTTAGGAAGTATTATGATCCCCATTGTATAAGAAAACAGAGATCCAGAGAGGTATAGGAAGATACCCAAGGTCACACAGCTCGGAGGTGGCAGCACCAGATCTGCAGCTCAAGTCTCCAAGCCCTGTAGTGCTCCCTTTGGACCACTCTCCACTCACTCCCCCACCCTCCAAATCTCTGGGGAGGGGGAAAGCTCAGGCTGGTAGAAGCAGCTGGAAAAAGACCTTTGAAGGCCTAAGGCTCAGAGGGCTTGATGCTGTTCTACCACCCCTGAGGGAGGCTCCATCTCCTGCCCTCTTTGTATAACCCTCTTTAGTTGGGAAGGTTCCCATGGTCTCTCCTCTCTGCCCAGCTGTCCCTCCCCAGAATGAAGGGAGGTGTTTTATCTCACCCTCTGGAGTGTGCTCCTGAGCACAGGACTCGTTTTGTTCATGCCATATCCTAAGTGCCTAAGCAGTGCACAAACTGATACATAGTAGGTACTCAATAAATATCTGGTGAATGAATGAAGGAATGGATGTCCTGGAAGTTTAAAGCGTTTTCCTGTTTTCTGCAGTGTAATGAATACTTCAGGCAAAGAGAAGCAAAACATTCCCAAGAGACAGTAGTCTCTAGACCGAGACCGGGATAGCCAGGCTCTACCAACTAGTGTGCCTTCAGGGGAGGGCACTGACTGGACACTGGACAGACCAGTTCTGTGCCCAACCGTGGCTCAAGCTCTGGAGCAGGTAAGCCGGGTTCTTATCCTCGTCTCTATCTTAGTCGCGTGGTCCTGGAGAAATCGCTTTTCTTTCCCTGACTCAGTTTACCCAGCTATAAAATGCAAAGTCAGTAACAGTCATTTCCCTCCTTCATATAACTGCAGGCCACGGGGCGAGAAGCCACGCCCCCTGATACTGGGGACCTGGGCATTTCTCCAGGCTCCCCGGACCCTCTTGGAATTCTCGGTTTGGGGTCCGCTGTGAGCCCAGGGGCTGCACCAGCGGCCTCGCTCCCCAGGGCGCCGAGGGGCCGGCGAGGTCAGAGAAGCCCAGCAACGGCGTGACCTTGTGTGGGCCCCTTCCTCCCGCGCCCAGCCCAGCCACGTGCATTCATCCAGGGGGCGGTTGGGTGACCCCTAAAGGATCGGCAGGGCGCTGGGTCGCCTGGGGACGCCTGGGTGTTCGGCGGGGCTCAGTTTCCCCACCTGCCACCCGCCAGATTTCTAAGGGCACTTCCGGCTCCGAAAGCCAAGCGGTCCCGGCAGCAGCGTCCCCGCGGGGCGGTCAGGGCGCTGGAGCTCGGCCGCGGGCTGCGGGTCGGGTGCCGGGAAGGGCGCGGGGCAAAGGCTGGGCCGGGCGGGCGGGCGGGCGGGCGGCGGCGCGGGTGCGCTTACCTGGGGGCGGCGGCGGCGGCGGCGGCGGCGGCGGCAAAGGCCGCCGGCTCCTCCTGGCTCCTCCCCGGCCCGCCCTCGCCCGTCCCAGCCGCCCCGCGCCGGCCGGTCCCGTACGATCCCGTCCTGTCGCCTGCGCAGCCACCCGGGTCGGCAGCGGGGACGCGCGTCGGGAGCGCGGCCTCCGGGCCCGGTTTGCCCAAGACGGTCCCCACCCGCCACCCGCCGCGACAGGGGTGCAGCCCCAGGAAGTGACTGGCCAACCCGCCGCGCGCGGTCTGTGCGCTGGCCGTTCGCCCTGCAGGAAGCGGGACGGCGGGCTCCGGAGAAGGGCTTCAGGGGTGCGCCCCGCGGAAACTGCTGCACAGGGGCTCGGGTCCGAGGGAGAGGGGAGGGCCCCGGAGCGACTCGGATGGAAAACTTGAGCAATGCATTGGGTGAAATGACAGACTCAGCCGTCCCACCCATGTAGACCGCACTGCGAGTTTGCAAAGTAGTGAGACACCCGCGATCGCCCTGATTCTACTTTCGGTTTCTCCCACGCTAGTTTGGTCCAGTCTCAAGGCCTTTGCACCCGGAGCTCCTGTGCCTGGGACTCTGCCCCCAGACCTCTTCTCCCGGTTTGTTTCTGACTTTCCAGTCCTTCAAGCATTTCCTTGACTACCCAGCACAGTCAGTCACTGAACAAATGTTTACTAAGCACCTACTATGTGCCAGGCACTGTTGTAAAGACAGTGAAATCACACAGCAGGTTACCAGTCCTGATGTCTTTTAATCATACCATTTATCCTCTATGAAATTATTTTGTTCATTTTCCTGTTGGCTAGTTTATGGTCTGCCATAAATTCTAGAATTTAAAGGCCCCAGGCTGGAGGTCTCCACTGCCCCCTCCCTTGTTCTGTGCCCCGCCCCAGGGATTATGCTGGGCACTTGGTAGAGGGACTGGTGGCCCTAGCAGTCTGGTGGATTTTCATCACACCAGTTCTACAAGAGGGGAAATTGAGGCTCAGGTCCAGACAGAGCTAATGAGGACCAGAGAAGGAACATGAGTCATCACGGCCTCAAGTCTGTTGATCTCTCTCCTGGTGAAGACAGACTGGGATTGTGAGTGGGAAGGATTCCAGGCTTCCATCTCCTTATCCACCCTGGCCAATCAGAACCAAGAGGGACAGCTAGACAGTTATTGTGAGGGCCAAATGACCAGTGATCTGTAGGCTTCAAGGGCATGATGCTTTGGGCCTTGTTAAAATTGCATAATCAGCTGGTGTCATGGTGCACCCCTGCAATCCCAGCTACATGGGAGGCTGAGGCAGTAGGATCACAAGTTTCAACCTGCTGAGCAACATAGTGAGGCCCTGTCTCCAAACAAACAAACAGATAAAATAACACTAGAGCTGGGGATGTAGCTCAGTGGTGGAGTACCCTGGGTTCCACCCCAGTGCCACACACACAAAAGATGAAATAATAACCATATTGATGTGGGTTACAGCAGAGCGAATTCTAGCCACCCCTTCTTGGCTCAGTCTGGTGGCCCCCACAGCACCTTGGCTTTGTGGGACCAGGTACTTCTCTGCAAGAAGGCTTTGCCCTGCTCCTAATTTGTTAAGAGACCTCATGTCAAACAAACTTGCCTTTGGACACTGGATCTAGTTAGATCCATTTCCGGCACCTGCCCCTCATCCCCGTCACCCCCATTGCACATAATTCCATAATCAAGGATAAGGGTGGGAAGGATGAAAAAAGCATGATTAGCCCTTTTGGTTATGCCTTTGAGGGATTTTTTTTAAGTTTATTATTGCACATGGCAGGATTTAGTTTCCTCCTCAACCTTTAAGTGTCGTCGTGAGGACTCACGAGTGTGCTTGAACAGTGTGTGGTGTATTGGAAGCACAATAAACATTAGCTGCAATTTCTCTCTGTAAAAGATACTTCTAATAAGATGTTTTCTTATCATCTCCACCCAAAGGAATAGGAAGGGGGTTGTGTTGGAGCTGGAAGCCTTTTTGTTTTTTTAAAGACCTATTTATTTATTTATTTATGGTACTGGGAATTGATTCCAGGGGTGCTTTACCAGTCAGCTACAGCCCAGTCCTTTCTGTGTTACTCTTGAAACAGGGTCTTGCTTAATTGCCAAGGCTGGCCTTGAACTTGCAATCCTCCTGCCTCCATTTCTGGGTCTCTGGGATTACAGGCATATGCCACCAAGCACAGCAAGGGAAACTTTTGAATTAACCATTGACTAATTTACCAGGATTTATTGAGTTGCTGGCAGGGTTCTAGGCATGGGGCATACAGTACAGGAAGGAATCAAAGCTCTGTTTTTTTTTTTTTTTTTGTGGGGAGCACCGGGGATTGAACTCAGGGGCACTCAACCACTGAGCCACGTTTCCAACCTTATTTGTATTTTATTTAGAGACGGGGTCTTACGGAGTTGTTTAGCACTTCAACATTGCTGAGGCTGGCTTTGAACTCTTGATCTTCCTGCCTCAGCCTCCTTAGCCACTGGGATTAGGGGTGTGCACCATTACGCCCGGCCTGAGGCTGGCTTTGAACTTGAGCTCCTCCTGTCAGCTTCCCAAGCTGCTGGGATTCCTGGCACACACCACTGTGCCTGACTCCAAAGCTCTCTCTCTCTTTTTTTTTTTTTCCAGTAAAATCATGGAGCTTACATTCTGGTTTAGGAGATGGGGAGAGGAGAGATGGGTGATGGGACAGAAATTAATTTAGCAGGTAGTGATCAGGGTTATAAAGCAAAGCAGCGAGGAGTGGCCAGGGAAGGGTGACCCAGAGTTGAGGGGTAACACATGGGTTATGGGGGGCAGAACTTCCCAGGTGGACCCGGCAACTGCAGAGGCGTTGAGCTGGGAGTACGGTGGAGTGTAGGATGAGAGCAGACTGGAGAGGTAGCCAGGGCCAAATCCCTGTATGTTAGTCAGCTCTCCGTCACTGTGACAACATTCCTGAGAAATTCAGGTTATAAGAAGGAAAGGTTTATTTTGGTGTTGAGGTTTTAGTCCATGGCAACTTGGCCCTGCTGCTTTGGGCCTGAGGAGGTGGGAAAAGAGGAAGAGAAAGAGGGAGGGGAGAAGAAGAGAAGGAGAAACAGAGCAACATCCTCTTTGGAGTACCCAGCCACATGAGTGACCTCACTTGTTTTCCATTAGGCCCCATCTGCCAATAGTTCCAAAGGTTGGGGACCAAGCCTTCATCAACACATGGGCTTCTTGGGGACATTCAAGATGCAAGCTGGTAGCATGAGCTTTTTAAAAATGCTGTTGTTTGGGTTTAGGGATGCCCCATATAGCAAATAAAAATATGTTATTCTTGAATTTCAGTTATACATGAATGCTTTTTAATATGCGTATATTTCAAAATTGTATTTGATACACTTACACTAAAAAAAATTTACTCATTGTGTTTCTGAAATTCAAATATATTTCATCTGGTGGCCCTACATGGACCCCATCCCAAGAAATTCTGATTCCATTGGTCTGGGATCAGGCCAGGCATAGGTCCTGGTTATATGGCCCACTGGGATATTTCTAAATTTTGACCTTGGGTTAGGAACTATGATTGTAGCATCTTATCTAATCTGAGAGGCTATGGTTGCAGAATTGTAGAGGGCTTGGGCAGTGAAATGACATGATCTCACCTTTTTTTTTTTTGTACTGGGAATTGAACCCAGGGGTGCTTTACCACTGAGCCACATCCCCAGTCCTTTTTATTTTTATTTTTATTTTTATTTTGAGACAGGGTCTCACTAAGTTGCTTAGGGCCTCACTAAATCGCTGAGGCTAACTTTGAATTTGAGATCCTCCTGTTTTAGCCTCCTGAGCTGCTGGGATTATTTGGCTGCCCATAGGGAAATCAGAGGGACAAAAGTGGACAGTGGCAGCTGGTTAGGAAGGTGTTGCGATAGTCCAGGCTAGGGAAGGACCTGTATTTGTTGGGGACCTACTCTGTATGGGCTAGGCCCAATAAAAGTCTATAACGGAGTCATAGGCTACTGGGCCGTCTCCCACCAGACCCACCAATTTAGAATTTCTTAAAAGTGTGGAGGCCTAGGAATTTTTACTGTTTAACAAAGACCCTATTAGTGAGTCTGATGATCCATCGGGTTTAGAACGACTAAGTGATTGGATTTAATTCTCCTAGAATTAAATCATAGAAATAACCATGAATACTGTTTAGGAGCACTGCCCTTGGGACTGGCTATATGCGCTTTCCGGACATACTTTGTTTATATCACTTAATTCGATGCAGTACCTGATGTCATTAGCCCCAGTTCTTAGGAAGGAACTGAGGCATGGAGGAGTTAAATAATGTGGTTGGGATCACTGAGCTTCAGAGCTGGGATTTGAACCCAAGCCTGACTCATTCTGCAATCCTGCCTTCCTGCAGACCTAAATACCAACACAAGTTTAAAGATAGCTTAGTGGCAGATAATGGATCCCCAGTGGAAGAAGCTTCCTTTGCTGCGTCCTGTTAATGTCTGTCCCGGGGCTTGGGCTGACCTGAATATTTGTTGAATGGAACTGAATTTGTGGTGACGTCACCGAAGGTAGCCCTATATCCCTTCCCAAAGAGTGTCCCCAGGACGCTGTTGTGCTAAACCTCAGGTTGAATGGTCCAGAAGGATGTTTATGGTCACTTCTTTTCCCATGACATTCAGAAAAAAGCAGGGCTCTCCTTGGGGGGGGGGACTGGACATTCCTGTGGAGGAAGGCCAGGTAGAGGGTGTCGCAGGCACGTAGGTTACCATGGATGTTGTGTTGCTGAGCAACCTCTAGTTTGTGTCTCTAAGGCATCTGTGATCCAAAGAACTGAGCAGCTCTTTGTTAATTGAACCATCAACTGGAGTGGGCAGAGGTAGTGGCAGAGGTCGGGAGTCAAAGTCATTTGGTTCATATTCCCCCCATAATTCTCATGCGTGAGGCAGGCTTTTGTAGTTTGCTGCCTTATCTCTTTAGATAGAGGTATGGAAGATGACCTCTACCAGCTCCTTATTTAAGAGCGCTTTGCACTTGTCCCCGATCTGATAT